GCTTAGGGTTAAGGCTTAGGGCTGAGGCTTGGGCTTAGGGTTTAAGGTTTAGGACCTGTCTGAGGGCTTTTAGGGCTTGCTTGAAGGATCAACTAGGGTTATAAATAAGGTAGCCCAACTTATGATTACTTATAACCCTAATCAAGCTGCCAACTAAGCTACTTGTAACCTTACATACTGAGCCCGATGATCCTCCAAGCTGGGCTTATGGGGTTTAGGACCTTTCAGAGGGTTTTGGGGCTGTTTAAAGCCTTAGAGTTCATGTGGTAGAGCTTATGGGGTGCATAGTTTCTAGGGTTCATAGGGTTTGAACGCCCAGGGCTTTCGTGTTAAGGATGGCTTCGGGCTATAAGGTTTGGGGTCTTTGGAAAAAAAAACATATACGAGTTCTTTCAGAGTCTTTTGGGTCTTCGCAAGGGGATAAGGGACCATGTCGGGTCTCAGGGTTTATGGGGATCTGCCTGAAATTCCTCCGGGACAGTTGAAGGCTTTACGGTTTAGGGCTTGCAGGGGGGTTTAAAGCGGTGCAAAAGAAAATGAGGCCAAGCCGCTACTTCTCTATTTTGAATGCTTGGCTGTTCTTTACCGACTCTTATGAACCTCAATCCCTCAACCCAGACCTGCGTGTCGGGGAGGTACAACTGCTCCAGGCGTGTCCAGTCTCCGGATGCTTCGGACACGTTCCCTGTGACCTCCGAAATGCTTGAAATCATGGGGCCCCTGTTGGGCAATGTAGGGGCCTTCATAATTAGAATAGGGTTTTGGGCGTTCCTTGTTCTAGTTATCGTATAATATACCCCCCAAAACCTACTCCAATCATCAAGGCCCCTATCTTACTCAATGTACTCTAGTCCTGATTTGGTAGCCATGACTACCATTGCCGAGTGCACACCCTGAGTAGTCTCTGAATTAGGGTCCCTTTGAGGGTCCTTTTTATGAGGGTGCCGTACTATATTGGTGGGGACCCAAAACGGGCCCTAATTTAGAGAACAACCCGAAAAAGGGTTGAAGGCTTAGGAGGTGGAAGAGACCTGGCACCGGCCCAGGTAGAGGTTGTCCAAGCCAGCGAAGCCTTTCAGGCTCTCCTGGGTTCGCCAAACGCATCTCCCTAAACGCATCAGAGTAATGTGGAAACCTGATTAAGAAACCCTGGGTCTTTCTTAGGGCTCTTTATATGAATCCTACTACTTTGGGGTTCTATGGCCAGGGTTTCTTAATGAGGTTCCTACATTACCATTGATTCCGTCAGTCAGTTTCAGGGTTAAGGTTTACTTTCAGTAAGGACGTCCCAACAAGTACAGTGTTTAGGGCTTCAGTAAGACAACCCCGAACCCCTAAACCCTAAAGAGTCTTTGCGCTCCCCAATCCCTAAACCCTAAACCCCCTAAACCCTGAAGTCCCAATGCCTTAAAGTCCCTAAACCCTAAACCCTAAATCCCCTAAACCCTGAAGTCCCTAAGCCTTAAAGTCCCTAAACCCTAAACCCCCTCAACCCTAAACACTGTGATAGGCCTGGCTTCGATGTTGCCAGTCGCGTTGCAGGCATCTTTTTCCCGGGAGAGCTCCAAACCTTGGCTCCCGTTTGAATTTAGGGTTTAGGGTTTAGGGAGTAGGGTTTAGGGATTTTGGGGTTTAGGGTTTCGGGATTAGGGTTTAGGGATTTTGGGGTTTAGGGTTTAGGGATTAGGGTTTAGGGTTTAGGGTTTAGAGTTCAGGGATTTTGGGGCTTAGGGTCTTGAGGCTTTAGGGGTTTAGGTTTAGGGCTCCGGGTTTAGATTTAGAGAGCTCCAAGCTTCGGCTCCGAAATGTCTCTAAAACCCTTGGCTTTACATTTTGTGGAACCCACCAGCACTTATGGTCAAGGAAGCCCCCAACATAGGCAAACGGCAAATGCTGGTGTAAACCTGGAAGCCTTGCAACGCCTTGAGCTCGCTGAGGTGGTCGAGGCTCCCGCGAAAAGGAGATCCTGTGATCTGCAATACTCGGTTTAGGGTTTAGGGTTTAGGGTATATCGTATATGGGAGATTCCGAAAATTAGGGGGGGTACCTTATTTTGGGGTCCTTATAATAAGGATCCTATTATGTAGGGTACTATATTAGGGTCCCCTATTTTCAGAAACCCCCGTATAGCTCCCGTATCTAGACCCCTCCCCCTGCCTCCGCACCCCTAGAACTCCTCAAAAGCAACCCGCCCCAAACCCAAGACCCTAAACCCTCAACCGTAACGCCCACAAACCCTGAAGTCCCTAAACCCTAAAAGTCCCTGAACCCTGAACCCTGAACCCTGAACCCTGAACCCTGAACCCGAACCTCAGAAACCTACCTTAGGGCTCGTCAGTATGATTTCTTTATGTAACATCCTCAAAGAGCTAGGAATTTTTTGGGGTTAAGGTAAAACCCTATAACCCTAAACCCTAAACCCCCTAAACCCTAAACCCTAAACCCTTAAAACCCCCTAAACACTATAAACCCTAAATCCTAAACCCTAAAACCCTAAAACCTTAAACCCAAACCCTAAACC